AGAACCGAGGCATGCTTATGTGATTAAAAGTCCCGAAAGTTTGTTTTCGTTGCTCTTTGATTGACAAGTCACGGTTGATGTTATATGCAAATGAGTTGCTGGCCTCAGTTACGGTGACTTCCTGTCCTGGCTCCATGTTTACTTACCTCAAGCGCGATCAACTAGCCTCGCACATCAAAAAAACAAACAAAAAACAGACAAGACGTAGACGCTCCCAGCGTGAAAGCGGAATGAAACAAAACATACAGTTGTAAATGATAATTAAACTTTTTCACCCTTATCTCGCAACATGTCAGTAACTTCTATCCTGGCATCTTTCAGTGGTATACTGTTAAAAAGTTTGATTTTTTATTTATTGTCATGTAGGAGGAAGGCCCGATAGCGCGATTTAATTTTCGCGAAAAAAACAAGGTCACAATTTCTTTTGCTTTCTTGGTGCATAGATTTCAAGCTTTGTCGCATTGGGGGCCAAACTCCAAAGACATTTTTACACTGAAGTAAACATTTTTCGTTTCGCTGTCACGATTACCGTGCTGATATAATTGCGATGCAATGGACAAACACTACAGCTGTTGCTGTCATCGATAACTAACTTTTCATTGTCAAAATACACAAACGTAATATGCTCGGTTAATTCAAAATAAAAAATACCCTGGAAATTACAGAAAATCGGCAATGAGATGCTGTTTTTAAACACCACGGAAAAATCATGCACTCTGCGATGCCATTTTGGTTACCTTAATCGGAAACCCCCTTGTCAGCTAGCATTCACCGGTAGCGATGTCGCAAAGTACGCTGTATGACCGTGCTCGGCGACCTCTGGTACTAAGGCACTCTATGAATGAGGTATTTCCAAAGGTCAGGGTTCCTTTAATTTTCATCGACCCGTCTCGTCTGTAGTTGAATGAAACCTGCCTCGATTTACAATAGTTCCTCTTCCAATGCGACTTCATTTCGAATTCGTTTCACCGGCGTTTGGGTGATTGCGTAGTAAAAACTGCGAATAGCCGTTACGGCCCATTTCAACCGCGACGTCTAACACCGTACGGCCCATTTCACCGGATCGCGGAAACTGTGCCATACAAAGTATTTTTTAAAGGTTTGAGAGAAGGCAAATTTAGACTCAACCCACACAATGGAGATCGTTATGTTTATATAACTGTATGAATATCTCACCGGCTTTACGTAATTCATTGTGCCCCTCCTTCAGTGAAATGGAATGAAAGTTTTCACGGAAGGTTGTGACTTTGCGGACGATTTTTCGTCCATTTCCCTCGAATTGTAAATATTTTTATTTTATTTTTTTACCTGACGATTTAACATCAACCAATGTTGGTGTGTATTTCTATGAATTTCTTTTATCCTTTTTTTTTTACAAAATGGCGATTATCTCAGTTTCATTTTTTACTGTGTATATGTAACGAAATATGAATGAGTGCTTATATTTTCCCATCCCATTATGTAAACGGCGATCAATTACACGGCATTCAGTTTTAACCTGTTTACCAGCGCACTGTATTTTAAATCGACGCCAAATTGAGGGTCCAGAACTGGATAGATTATTGAGTAAATATTTTGCCAGCATTTATTTAACAAATCGGTGGTTTAGAACTATTCAATGGAAATTTGGTGGGAGACCCCGAAAGAATGAAGAAAGTATACGATAAATACAGATGTGGGGAGGGCAGCGATGTTTTGGATGAACCAATAATTGCGCAGATATTGGAAAAGGTCGAAACAATACAACGAATTTAGAAAAATTATCATCCATTTACAATCGGGATTTGACGTAAAAATGGGCTACGCAATAAAAGACAGAAATATAAATCAACGAAATTAGGATAAGTAGGCGTGACTGTTAATCAAGGAACAGATTTTATTGGACATTTGTTGCCGAAAGCTTGGGCACAAACACGGTGTTTTACCGATCGATTTAGAATGCGGGTTTTTTAAATCACGTGACTTTAATTTGGAATACGGGAACTCATTTAGCGTGAATTTGGAAATTTCAGAAAGCTTACAATCTTATTGTGAAAAGCCATTATGCTGAACTGTAACAGTATAAGGTAATAAACTGAAAGTTATGTTGAAAATTTCTCGTGAGAAAATACAAGGCACCAACTGTGGAATGTTTATAACGAATGTAACCATTGTATACTCGCATACTGATAGTTTTATTTTATTATTATTTTATTTCATTTGAGTGTTATTTATATGTTTTATCATTACCGAGTAGTATTATATACTTGCTCGTGAAAACTTGTGTATGACTCTTTGATATCACTTATATCTTGGTATAGTGGGCGAATATCTGCGTTAGCGTAAATTGATTTAAATATCTTCTGTCATCAGAACTGGTTTGAGCCAGTGATGACCTCGGTAAATGCAATGTAATTGGCCAGAATTACAAAAGGAATGGTATAATAATAACTCTAGAGATGACATCAATAATGTTATCAACAATGATGGAAACCAATCTTGTCAGAATATAACAACACACATCTTTCAATGTTCAAATTATCTTAAATTTTGCCCGCGAGCAATCTCTGTTTTTTTTTGTCGTTATAGACTAATTAATTATTCCATGTGCTCAATTCGGGTTATGGGGCACTTTGATGTATGTGAGTACTGTGAATATGCATTGCGTCCTGTCATGTTTCGCTTCCTCGGTGCAATACATACCGTGTTTATGAGCTGTATATTGATTTGTTGAATGCACTCCTATTTATTTGTCGACTATGTCCCTTAAACTTTTACTGAATATCATTTGCTTGTTCATACAGCAATGGAGTGGTTTAACATATGTTGTTTCCTGTTTTCGTGCACTTTACTCGGTAGGTATAAACTTTTGCCAATTTTGAAGCACGTGGTGACTTATTCATATCAAGCAAGATCCCTAGTAGGCTTCCGGTTTCCGTTACTCTAACAAAAACAATTCTCATAAACTCAACATTTTTTTTGCTGAAAAACAGTCTCCTATTTGTTCTGGAGTGAGCGAATGTAGGTCAGATAATAATATTTTCAATATTTAAGATGATTATCTGCCATCATAATATAAAAGTTGTTTAAAAGAGCCGGCGTTTTTCATACACCATTTTTTGATTTATTGCAAAAGAGTAGTCTTGAGCTAGTGTGCAAATGTTTACTTAGACCTCAGGATCAATTGCCAACTCTTCAACATAGAATTCAATTTAGTGCTTAAAATCGGTATTATGCACGAAACACCGAATGTATGCTGCATGCACGCCATGCATGTTAAATAGCTTGTGTTGTGTTGAATCAGATAATAGCTAAAATATAACTATGAAGTTAAAATCTTTTTTGTTACATTTGTAGTTGTTGCTATTGACCCTAACGACTGTGATATCGATGTCTCTGGCACCTGCTTTGTTATCATACATGAAAAGATGAAATGGGAGGAGGCTCGCACTAAATGCCAAGACCTTGGTGGCAATTTGGCCGTGCTCGACAAGATAAATGTACGGGATGCTGTAAATACAATTACTGTTGGGTGAGAACTACACACAACTTAATCATCTTACAAAACAAACTTAAAAAAAAAACGAGTTATGTGTTATATTTTCAAATCACAAATAGAATCAGTGGTTTATTTGCGAACTAACTGCCTCCTAATGTTTGAACATTATTTATATTTATATATTATATTATATGTTAATTTAATTGAGTGTTCTCAGCTTGGTATCTCATTCAAAACCTTCATTTACAATATATTGTTCGAAAGCCTGGATAAAGAAAAAAAACACTTCTGAACATACTAGGTAGACATTTGTTTACATAAACATCACATGGCAGAAAAAATGTTGGGCCTTGTCAAAATGACTAATCCCGCGATTTCCGGCTGAAATTTACGGGATGCACCGAGCGCCACTAATTCTATATAAATATGTATTAACTGTATTTACTTCCTAAATGTTTCCAGAGATTTGTTTTAGCCCGGGAGTTTGCCACTAATTAACAGATGTGATTGGACACTATTCTGTGACAAAATATTGTATTTGAAAACACGGATACATCTCATTGCCAATGAATCATTGCTGTCAATATTACACGTGGCATTGACGTAGCAAACTTTACGGGGTTAGAGGAAGATAGTTACATTCATTACTGAAAATGTATGATTTGTTCTAGAAACAAAATACTTATAAATGCCTAACACGTTAATCGTGATGTAAGAGGATAGGTTTTTATCAAAAGGTAAAGAAAACGGGAAAAAATCTTGCACGTTACTCTTCCACAGCATGTACAGCTCACTGTACTCACTGTTATAGTTCGAGTTGATCCAATAGGACATAATACAATGAAATATGCACTCGATGTAAGCCACTCTAAAGACAAACATTATACATAAACATAGCAGCGCTAGTTTAATGTTTCAAATCACCCATTTGAGTGGCTTGCCATAAACAAATCTTTATATTAGCTGTAGTGGTTCATCGTTTTCATATAATATAAATATTAGAAAAAAAAAGAATTTGTTTTTATTCTCGCTACTTTAATTGCTTTTCATTATAAAGAGCTGATTGCGTTTTTACTCACTGCGAGTTCAGAGTACAGTGCCCAATTAAAACGACAATTTGTGTTAAGAAAAGATCGTTAACTACCCGTGAAGAACGAGTCCAAGTTTATTGGACCATGTAGGATAATAATATTAGGAATCCATAACATTACACCAGATGACAGACTGTGCAATACATATATATATATATATATATAAATTACCAAATTGAATATAGTATCAGCTGAACAATATTTCAAAGAATTCCCCTACTTCGTTTCAGAGGAGAGTCATTGTGGATTGGTTTACATGACTTGGCAATTAATGGCCAGCCATTTTGGGTTGATCCTGAAGTAATTTACAATAGCAATAAAGTGTATCCATGGGCAATCGTAGACGACAATACTGACAACAGAGACTGTGTTTTAGCTACGGGAAACCAGGAAGGCGTGCTTGAGTGGCGATATAACAACTGCGGCAGTCTACATGCATTTCTCTGCGAAATTTTGGGCTCAGGTAAAATACATGTTATGTGTGTATAAATCAGATAACATGCAAATCATCCTCTATGGATTTCTTGTGCAAAAACTGACTGTAAATCTATGTGAATCAATGTGAATTAAGAACAATGTATGAAGTGAATATCTAAAAAATGTTTTTTTCAAATGGAAAGACAAGCTTGTTTGCATGCAAAATAGTGGCGTATTTTCAAATACCCCTAACGCGCTTAACATTTCGAACAATTTCTATGTTGTAAAATTATTACTTAAGATAAATATATAGCAGTGACAGAACCCTATTTTACCTTCAGATATGAAAAACCTCATCCATTTACTTTATGTATGGAAATAAGGTTATCACAGAAAAAAACAATGTGCTTGAGATTTAATTCTATTTAATTTGTATGTATTATTTATATTTCACTCATTTTATTGTTTTTATATATTGCCATTAATTGAAGATGAACCTTATACACACTTGCTTTCATTTGCAGATGATGATGCTGATATGGAAATTATTACGGCAAATAAACTGAAAGCGGAATAAGCCAGATTGGCTGAGTTAGAAAGACCAAGTGCTAAGATTGCTGAAATAAACAAAAATCTTGGTAAGTAGTCATTCGTAGACGAGTAGTGGTGCTATACAACTAACACATTTATACGAAGACCATATCATATTACATTTTCACCACATTGACAATTACATTACTTTCAGAACTGTTTGAAGGTGACATTATACTAACTGATGATGATCTACAGACCATTCAAGATGCGGGACAAGATGCGTGAGTAATTGCATTCGAACATGAATCTTATTTTGTTACATTATACAATCAACACCATCATAATATTGAAACAGGTCTGTGAGTTTGACTTGCACGTGAAAACGGTCAAATGAGTTTTATTAACATCTTAAGACTACTCCTCTCTCTGGTTAGAATTTGTTTGGGGGGGGGGTGGTGGTGGTTTCGGTAGTGTTGCCTTGTCTGTCTGTTAGCACGATAGCTCAAACAGTCATATAAGGAACTCTCATAACAATTCTAGGAAGTACAAATCCATTACATTTTGGTACAGATATTGTACGGCTACCATTGATACTGTAATTTCGGAATGATTTTTCATTTATAACTCAAAGGTTATGGATGGTGCCATAAACACAAGGTGCAATACATTATAATTCACAATATGTAAGTAATTGAGTTGCTAGGCGGAGGTAGTGCTCTCCGAGTGTTTCCAAGTTGACCAACGTTAAACGCAGTATACGGCAACTTCTCCTCACAACTCTTGCAAGGGGGATTTGGATTATAACACGATCTAAATCCCACTTTAAGCCTATATACATTCCTCTGTTTTAGTGCTAAGCTCCTTTGATAAGTACAACAGCAAATATTTCGTTGATGTTTAGGTGCTCTCATGTGATTGGTCAATGATAAAAATAAACACAACGTCATCGGCATCCATTTTCTATTCTTACCCACAAGCCACTCTCGTGTGAGCAATAATGATAATATTGAGACGAGCGGTATGAGATAACGAACATTATCTTCGGTAATAAAGTCCGAAAGCGAAGTCATCTTCAACAGAACATAGTGTTTACAACTTGCAAACAGAGTCTGTTTTGATTGATAAGCAGTGTACATTTTTTGTTTTGTTTTATTTTGGTTCATTTAAAAGATAATGAACGGTGTCACTATTCAAAACTGCATCTCTTCTGTCTTTGGCATACTTCAGAATGATAGATTTTCAATGTTGGATGGTCGTATTTCTACAAAGGATCTGTCTCTTCCGACTGAATATAGCCCGACAACCGTCGTGACGTGAGGACACACAAAAGCGTTGGTAGTACACGCAGAAAATAGGGAGGGAGTCCAGAGAGAGATAGAGAGAACAGCCAACACGCCCTTATGACAGAGGAAAACGTGAAAACTTCATTTACGTTCTTACATGCAATGTTAGGTTTTGAGGGATGCCAAGTCCACAAAAGTACACTAATTGAACCAAAAAGTACGCTTTGGAGACATACCTATCAGGGGGAATACTCTTCCACGGGGTCTCCACACTTGTCAGGGGGGAAACTCGTCTCGTCTCTCTATCTCGTCCCCTTGAGGTACGGGATCGGGAAAGTCACTTTACTTTACAGTCAAATAAGGCTCACACAACGAAATACGTTTTAGCTCTCGTCTTAGTCGATCTTTTGGAGCACTCTATAAGACACAGCGCCCTGGGGAAAAGTCCCCAAGACTCTCACAAGGCTGAACCAAGACTCGCCCAAGACTGGACTGCGTCAAGGCTCGCCCCAAGACTCTCTTAGACTGACTCGACTGCCCAGGACTGCACTCTCTCTCTACTG